CGCATGTATATTTGGTGCCCCCTTGTACCAATATTTATGTGTTCAAATAAATAAATAATTATGGCCTCTTACACATGTCAATAAGTTTATTTAGTTTTCTAATCGGACTCGCAGAAGTACAAAGCCTTAGAACAAGGTGAAGTGCGTTAGTTTGCTGTGCTTAAGCTCTTTAAAAATAACATAATTCTATCAACTTTCCAAACCATTTGTTAGTTTCTAAATTCGTATAACTTTTCGGGGCAGAATGACTATTCTCTTGGAACGTTAAAATAAGGTAGACTTTTAAATCATTTCCTTTTTCAAAAAGGCCTGATGTTTTTACCAATGAATAAATAAATTCAACTCGTCACTCAAGTGTGGCTGTTCGCAAACCATGCATAAAGATTGGTCTACATATGTTGAGCTAATCCGTAACACAGCAGTCTTAATCTATGAAAAATCAATTTAAAGCAATTAGTCCCTTTGATAAATTTCGATAATGTAATAAGAAGACGGAGGTTATCAGAACTAATATATCACATAGTTCTGATAATCTCCGTCTTCTTATTACATTATCGAAAAATCAATTGTTTCACCTTTTCATGTGCATTGTATGTAAGTGGTGTGTATCTTTTTGGGTGTAGTGATATCTGGCATTAAGTATGTTCTACTGTTGTTGGCTCTTCGTTTGGTGAACTTGACATTTGATGTGTCCATACCCCCCGCGTATATGATTTCGGCTACAGCTAGCGTCTTAATAATTATAGAGTGAAAAAATAAGTGGTAATAGTCGGTTGGTTATTTATCCTCTGAAGAGGTGGCTTACACTGAGTCACGAAACGTCAGAAAAACTAATTTTTCTGCTCATTGGGATATTACAAATATATTATTTATTCAGTCCGTAAAATAGTTCTGACAGTCACATTTCCAGTATTCGCTCAGTCACATCTGATAGATTTTGCTAGGTAGTTATTCACGGAAAACGGATTCCTTTTTTAAGTAAAGACCAATCAGAGAAGTGGGTAAAGCTGTTTACCTGACCGTTGTTGCTACCTTGACGTGGTGGTCGGGCTTGCCTATCGTGGTGAAGCAACTGAGCTATACTGGCTGGAACAACCGTTCCTCAAGGTCCTAACATGCCAGACAGGTCGGTTGAAGAGCGGTAAGACTAAAAGCAACAAAACCATGGTCCGAAGGCGAAGTCGTACTGCTGACTGTACAGAGGTGTGACAGCAGTAAGGTGTTTCCTTCAGACAACCAGCATAACAGCGATGCTGCCCTCCCAAAAGGAGGGGTGGGGTTAGAAAAGGTCGACTCTAATAATGCACACCTCGCCTTATCCCACGGATATCCGTCTCCGGCGGTAAGGTCTCAACAAGTACGGAGCTAACACAAAAACTACTCATAAAAAGGTCGTGTGTGACCGACCTCAAGCAACTGTCCCTTGTGCACTGCGGTCACGCTCTCGGGTCACTATGACCACCTCTAATCCAATTTCCTTTTCAGGTACGTCCAGCAGAACCCTTCCACGGTGTGGGCAACTGGGAAGTGATAACCGCCCTCATACCTCTAACAGCACTCAAGACCACTGTATTCATAATCAACCTACCTCTTCAATTCCTATTATTCCTCCTACATCGACTTTCAAATCTAAACTCCCTCTTTCGGCTTCCTCCTCAAGTGTCACCACAGCCAACGATTCTAGTGCGCAAAACACTGTCCCAGGTCTACTGAAACCTCGCTACAAACTACATATTGGAGCCTTCAACGTACGCACACTATGCCAAATCTGTCAGCAGGCTTCCTTGGCTAAAACCTTAGAATCTCGTACAATTGATGTATGCTGTGTCTCCGAAACACGCATACAGGATCCTAGTGTAGTCATTCACTTGACCTCACCTCGGCAAAACAGAGTGCCGACGAGTACACCCTCCGTGTATCTGGCGACCCGATGGCTAGTTCTCGTGGACTGGCAGGTGTAGGCATAGCACTAAACATGAGGGCGGAACAAGCACTATTAGAGTGGATCCCCGTTAATAGTCGTCTATGCGCTGTTCGGCTAAACGGCTCCGTAAGAACTCGAAAGGATAGGGACACACGTCGTTTCTGCCTACGCTCCCACTGACTGCATCTCAGATGAAGTGAAAGATGAATTTTACAGAAAGCTGTCTGAACTTCTTCAGAAAGCTAAACGTTCAGACATAGTACTCGTAGCAGGCGACTTTAATGCCCAGGTAGGTAGCTTAAACGAAACAGAAAGACATTTAGGTGGGTATTTTAGTATTCCGACACAGAGAACAGACAATGGTGATCGTCTGCTGCAACTGCGCTCAGACAATCGTTTATTTTTAGCAAACACAAATTTTAAGCATAAGGTGAGACATCGTCTAACATGGCGACCCCCTTCACCAAACCAACGATGGACTCAAATAGACCATATTGCCATCAGTCATCGTTGGAGAGGGTCAATAGAAGATTGTCGCTCATTCTGGAGTACTTACTTGGATTCCGACCATGCCCTAATACGAGCACGCATCTGCTTGCGCCTCACTGGACGCAAAAAAGCCACACAAAAAAGACTCATTAGAACCGAATCGAGTAATGAGAAAACCAAAAGTAGGTTCCAGGAACAACTGAGGTCACACTTAGGTGGTTCTGTAAACGAGGCTGACCCAGATGTTGCTTGGAAAGATATACAATCAGCTGTGGAAACAGCAGTGACATCTACTAGCGATTTAAACCACAGGGTTACTAAGAACAAATGGATTTCTTCAAGGTCTATCGCAATGATAGATTCCCTTAAAATCATCCCACCAGGCTCTGAACACGATGAAGAGTGTAAAGAAATCAGATCTAGGTTAAGCAAAAGTCTAAGGAACGATCGTGAGTAGTGGTGGGCAACGAAAGCAAAAGAGATAGAAAAGGCGGCGGCTATAGGGAACACAAGACAACTCTACAGACTAATAAAGGAAACTGGAATTAATAAATCAAGTGTAAGTCAGACTATTTCGGAAAAAGACGACACTCTCATCTGCTCCCAGTCCAGACGTTTAGAACGATGGGCGGAACATTTTAAGGAGCAATTCAGTTGGCCTTCAGCTACTCTACAACTACCCTCTATTCCCAGACAGTGTCAATGGAACATTGAAGTAGGTCCCCCAACTCTAGCTGAAGTTCAAAAGGCTATAGCTAATCTGAAACGAGGAAGGGCAGCTGGTCCAGATGGATTGGCCCCAGAGGTCTTTAAGGATGGTGGTCTAGTTTTAGCGATTAGGTTGACTAATATTTTAGCTAAAATCTGGGAGTTAGACGTTATTCCATCTAACTGGTCACAATCACTTATCGTCCCAATATTTAAGAAAGGGTCAAAATCATTCTGTGACAACCACAGAGGGATTAGTTTGACTAATATAATATCTAAAATACTAGCTTCGATAATTTTCGGGCGCCTAACTAAGACTCGTGAACTGCAAACACGAGAGAATCAAGCTGGCTTCAGACCTGGTCGTGGCTGTATCGACCACATATTCACCATTCGTCAGGTTCTAGAACACAGGCATACTTATCGGCGTCCGACAATAAAGGTCTTCCTTGATTTAAAAACAGCGTTTGACTCTGTTGACCGAGAGGTTCTGTGGCAGTGTCTGTCATTGAAAGGCGTACCTCAGAAGTACATAAACCTTGTGAAGGCTCTTTACTCGAACACTACTAGTCGAGTCAGAGCTTATGGCGAACTGTCATCTGCTTTCGCAACCTCAAGTGGCGTCCGCCAAGGCTGTCCACTTTCTCCATTTTCGTTTAACTTCATCATAGATCTACTGATGGAAATAACGCTCTCATCGACTGAATTCTCAGGTATTGATCTCCTACCACTAGGTCCACTTATTGACTTAGAATACGGAGATGACATAGTTCTGTTTGGTGAAGACGCTGATGAAATGCAGAGTCTTTTGGTAGCACTGAGCAACAATGCCAGGATGTTTGGAATGCACTTCTCTCCCTCTAAATGCAAGTTGTTGCTTCAGGACTGGTCTGCGTCAACACCTGAACTAAGGATAGGGGGTGAAGTAGTCGAACGCGTTGACAACTTCACTTATCTTGGAAGTCTGATCAGCCTTAATGGGTTGGTGTCTGACGAAATCTCTGCACGGATTCGAAAAGCTCGCTTGGCCTTTGCCAACTTACGTCATCTATGGCGAAGGCGAGATATTCGTCTATCAATTATGGGACGAGTATACTGCGCGGCAGTTCGTTCCGTTCTACTATACGGCTGCGAAACATGACCTTTAAGAGTAGAAGATATTCGTAAGTTACCAGTATTTGACCACAGGTGCCTTAGAAATATTGCTCGCATCTGCTGGGATCACCGGGTAAGTAACAGTGAAGCTAGACACAGGGTATTAGGGAATGATGGTAAATCAGTTGATGAGGTTATGAATCTTCATCGACTGAGATGGTTGGGCCACGTGCTGCGTATGCCTGAACACCGATTACCACGGCGTGCAATGCTAACCGGTGTTAGGGATAATTGGAAGAAAGTTAGGGGCGGCCAAACCAAAACGTGGCATCAGTGCTTGAAGTCTCTAACTTCTGGTCTGAGCCATGTTGGTAGATTCAGACTGTCTGGTTGGGGTCCGCGTGACTATCGTAACCAATGGTTGGAGACTCTTTGTGACATGGCTCAGAATCGATCACAATGGCGTCGGTGTATACACTCTCTGTTTTCCTTTAAACTAAGAGATTAAAATCGCTTCATATCTTTCTTTCTACGAACTAATTCTTTCTTCCTGTACTATCTCCTTATATGCAATCTTTCTTCTATATATTACAACCACTGAATTAACTACTTCTATGAATCCGGTGTTCATCTTGTTGTGCTAATGCGGTATGGCAACTTGGACCGATGCATATACGTGCCTGGTCCTACGTTGTAGCTGACTGACTGACTGTAAAGCTGTTTGAATCTATACGATGAGATTAAATATGTTGATCAGAATAACTCAAAATTGATTACAACTCACTTTGAGCACGCTAATATTCGGTCTTCTCCTACATCAGCTTGAACGTGAAATTCCTCTGAAATGAGACCACCAACATTTCCTGGATCTGCACATGCTTGATTTAGAAAGAATGAGAAAGATGTTGGGATATAACAGATGAAGTTAATAAATATTAACTTAACGAAACAAAAAAAGGATAGAGAGATTCCACTCTATAGCAAATTAGAAGAGACCTAGTTAAGGTTAATATGTATATGGTTTTGATATAGTGCTTGTAGTTAACCACCAGACGTCAGCTTTCTCCCGTTACTTTTTAAGAACGTTTATAAGACCTTACATTATCAATTATTCGCAACACCTTTCATTTTACCTTCAGACGTATATGAGACAATCTGAGCACTACTGATTGTTCTTATAAATAAAACAAATTACCTTCATACAAATCGGCATGATCTCTTTTGAATATACATATATGTTTTGCATAACATGCAGATTGGTTGAAATCTATGTCACTTGTATGCAACGTAATAACGGGACGTGCTTTAAATTTATTTCACAACGGAAATTGATAATGTATTCAATTCAGACATCTAAAAGTCGGACAACGGATGCTATTAATAGTGATTTCGACAATTTTTAATTAATGAGATTTTTAATCTGTTGAGTGCTTTCTACTGACACAATACACCAGGAGAATATTCAGATACTTTTTATGTGAGCTATCAAAGTAAACGCTCATTACCAACGTCAACAAGCTGGAGATTAAAGACAGAATATATTCGTGCTTCAAATCACTGCTGATTCGTTTTAAGGGTCCATATATCTGAAATACCCTGAAGTTCATTTCTTATTAATTCAGTATTGGGAATTTAGATAGAACATAAGGGGATATATTACAAAAACTCAGGTGAACCGCAGTTACCAGCCAGTGGATAGTTACACTTTATCAACTACTGTGCGGAAACTAACGAGGACAACAGGACTGAGCTTTAAATGAGTACTAAGTTGTGAGGTCTAACAGCTAATTTTTAGGACTCATATTACCAACACAACATTCAGATTACTAAAAATGAGTATAAAAGTAGTTTTTATGAAAAAAGGGGATATTTCAGATAGTCTAGTCTTAGTGAATAATTGCCTTGAAATAGTCAGTAGTTTATAATTTACAAGTAACATCTATCGATTGACGTAGCACAATTACACTGAGGGACTAGCCGCAAAAAAGATCTGCTTACCAACTAGGTACGGTAACCCAAGGTTAGCCAACAATTCCGAATATGCAGTCTTTACATGTCTATACGTTTCCTCAGCCGTCTCGGCAGAAGCATCAAATGTGTAAAGGTCTGGAAGTAAGTTAAGCAGGATTAAGTGCTTGTACCTTGCATTACAAACTCACGTCCCCTGACCAGACCATGTTTCGGGTGAGGTTCATCTCGAAATTTGCTGGTTATCTTGAAAACAAGAGTATTTTTTGTAACTCACTTGATACACCAAAACAGGGAGGGACTTATATGATAGATTTAGACAGGCAACGAAATTGGTTATACATTCTTCATGGGTCTAACAAAATGTGAGGGAATTATATATTACTGGCTGCAAACAGTACTCATGAGATAACCTGTCTTTGAATCTGAATAAGCTACTCTGCATAGTAGACCATCGACCTGTGCGGTTTATAATGACAGTGTATATACATACCAGACTTTTCCCAAATATGTCTCGGACCCAGAGTTGGAAGCAAAACACGCTGAGCTCCTAGCTGCAACATGTAATTGTCAACTAAACTTTCCAGCTTTCGCAGAGATCGAAGTACTTCAGGTCCAAATGCATATACACCGGTGGAGTCAGAAAAGATGAGACCATACAACCGCAGAAGCTACATTTTAGTGAGAAATATCGCAAAGAAAACCTTTTGACTGATACAAAGAGTAGATGTCACTCCAGGTATGTTAATCAACGGGGGAAGGGAACGAGATAGAAACGTGAACACAGACATAAGATGCACGTTAAAAAGGACAACGCTTCAGGGGTATCGTCCACTGATAGAGGTTGCGAGCACTTGAAGGTCAAACTGTTTCAACATGATTGGTGCGTCACATCGACAACTCGTGAAGTTTTTCAGAGGCGGTCAAATCAAGACATTTTTAGATTTGAATTGAGTTCAACCACACCATGTCTGATAACGTTCATCCTTCAAGTAACGAAGATGATGCCATCGTAATAATGCATGATATAGGACGAATCTTCAATGATATCATGTTATCTCGGAGATTTACAAGTTGGTACAATTATGAGAGAATGTTTGAAAGAAGTACATATGGACATAAACGCAGTTCGTCAGAGTCAGATGCTTGCGTTCAGGATTTAGATGATGATAGTGATCATCATTCTTCCGAAGAGCATACAACTTCTAAACCTTTTTATTGCCGCCCGCCGTTTCGTTCCGACGACCTTGATCGGAATGACAAGAGGCGGTCATTCCGTACTTCAAGTACTGTGGGTTTGTTTCGTGTCTTTTTTGTCATACAAATATTAATTGTCCTCATATTTACCAAGTCTTTTGCTGACATAAAATCATGGCGAGAACCATTAATTTAGCTTTTTCTGTTTTGTAGTGTACTCGTTAGTTCTATTGTTGTTTCGTAACTTGGCCGTGATACAAATTACTCTACTGTACATCACTGCGTTTTTAAAATATTTGATCAGGTTAAAAAACAACCCAACTCTCGAACCATCCTTCCTGAGAACACTTCGAATAACACTTCTAAAAACTTATTCACAAGCTAGATTACAATAATTGATTTCTCCACTCTCCTGCCCTGACTATGCTCAAAGGGAGAAATGTTTCTTGACAGAAAAGAAGCCTTCGTTTAACGGGTTTCCGTAACTACTAATAGTAAATCACGATGTCTCCTGGTAGAATTCTAAATATATTTATGAGGTCATTGAAATATCACTGAGCCCTTGACAAATCATCCGGTAGTTGGGTCAATGAATATCGAACAAATCATCGATCCCTGTCAATTTTTGTGGAGTTTCGTTCTCTGAGATGGATGGTTTGGTCGTGGAGCCTTCGTCGTTCTTCTGAACGACATCATCAGCGCAAACTTCAGACAGAAGTGAAGTGTCCGAATTTCTCCATATGCATTACAGAGCTTGTTCTGTACACCTTGACGTTGATAAGTTGTTACCTACCGTAAACTTGTCATTGTTTACTTCTTTGTTTTGGTTGTGTCTCCTATTGGTTTGATTTGTGTTCCTATATTTGTGCATAATTTTCCTGATTGGTTGATAAATTGGATCGATTTCATTGTGTTTGTTGATTGCTGATTGACCTTAGTGTGATTTCGATATTAGCTGTTGGTCACACCATTCCCGTTTAACTCCAGTAGGTCCCCAATCGTTCGGCACAGATCATCTACGTTAATGATCTACATATTTAACGATAAAAAGAGAAATACTAATAAATTATAGTGAGATGTAGTTCCTAATACTTGGGAATATGTCGAGTGTTCTCTTAAAGACTTCTTGGAGATCACTTGGGCTAGCTTAGTCTGTAGTGATTTCCAGAATTTGACTGCTCCTAGGGGATAAAGATGTGTCTACAGTCCGTTTTGTTATGTTGCGTATCTAGTTTCTGGATGCTTTCCTCAGGCTTTGTGTTAGAACTGAACTTAGGTAGGTATTAAAGAGGATATCCGTAAGTCATTAAAAGGTCACCTTTGAGATGCATATAATCTAATGAGCAAGGGTTCAATGATTAGAGTCCTCTAACTGGTTTTGTAGCTTACCTTTGAATGCGTTCCAATTTATCCATATACTTTAGAAATGAAGGAGGAAACACTATATTTCTGCGCTTTAAATAGGATCACATGTAGGCATTGGTGCAGTTTTGGAGCAGAAAGCTGGACCAGTGATCTGTGCTTCACTTAAACTTACCGTTGCTGAACAAAGTTATTAGCAAACTCAGAGAGAAGCATTAGCTCTGTTTTTTCACTGTTGAACGAATTTATATATACTAATTTTAAAAGACATTCAGCAAACAGCAAACAATTCAGAAAGATGGTACAAGTCAAAAACTCATCCTTCTGAGTACACTTTATTGCCTGTATCTTTAATTCGAGTGCTTCCGATCATCATGGTATAACCCGACGTTCCAAACTCGTTTATTCAGAGTAAGGCAATTAATTCGTAATGGCTTGATACTAATTTATTTGTGCTTATTGATAAAAGATATGATTGAAACTATCAAAGCCTTTGAGAAGGAAGAGTTTATGATTTCAACTTTCCATCTGCAATCAAGGACGGTTGCCCATTTGCTCAGCGCGATCAGCAGACTGATTACTCAAGATTGTCCCTTCATGAAACCGCGCTGTTTTAGTGAAAAGAAGTTTATGGATAATAAGTAGTCACGTAGACACTTCGAACATCAGGGACTTAAGAATTTTTGTATGTATCGAGGGAGCTGCTACAGGCCGTTAGTTTGGAGGTTCACTGCGTCGTCCTCCGCTGAAAATTGATTAATGTGGGGAACTCTTGTCTTTGCTTTTCGAAGAGAGGCTGCATGACAGAATAAGATTATCGTGTTGGAAGCCAGTGCACCGGAGACCTGTATTGGTAGGACGAATGATTCACAAAGCAACTTTAATATGTGCCACATAAACGCTCATGGTCTTTGAAATAAAGTGAGTCTAGTCCCGATATAATTGTTGTCACAAAATCTTGGTTCACCGTAGATATAGACTGTTCTCCCATCATTACAGGCTACATGTGTGTTAGAAGTGATATTTTTAAGTCGCATGGAAGGAGGCATAATGTTAAACGTTGGGGATCATTTTCGTACCCAATCACTTTTATCGAAGGCGCATGATAGTGGTGCATGTGAGGTAGCATATTGTACGTTTAAGTCTGGAAACGGGTTAGTGACTATAGGAGGACTATGCTGTAGTCCGTGTTGTCTTGCTGACGACTTTATTTTTAGATACATTTGTTCTTGGAGTAAAGCAGACAGTTGTCTCATCATTGGAGACTTCAACTGGATAGAGTTTACAGCTCAAGGTGGATTTTTCGATAGTGACCTTCTATCAACCGTTATTCAGTGTGCACTTGTACAATGTATGGCAAAACGGACACATATTGACCTGAAAAGTAACTCCTTATTGCTGGATCTTGCCCCCCCACACACAACTGTGGGAATGTCATCGACACTCAGCACCTTCTCTCACTAGTGAATAGTGACCACAATGTACGATGAGCACTTAAAATGCCTAAACGTTTCCCCCTTGTTGTATAGTGGTACGCAAGGTGTCCTTATACTAGCATTGTGTATCTTGGATTATGATTTGGGTGTCAATAAGTCTTTTCATTTTGCCCCTTTATGATAATTAGGAGTAATTGAATTATAGTATGAACTAAGAATCCCAGAAATAACGCAATTGAATCAAGAAGTACGACACAAGCACGAACGAATGTACTGTATTTGAAATTCGAAATCAAGCATTTGTGGAGATGTGCCTGACAAGCTTATTTTGTAAATAGTTTTTGATGTTATTCGTATTTATTCTGTCAACTTCCCACTGCATGTACATTTATCATTAAATGATTGTACCTGTTGTTTAAGTGTATGACCTTGACCACTTTTTCCGTTGTGATACTAACATAGCGTGACACTATTTTGGTTGTTCCCAAATACACTATTACGCACATACCTCTCGTTCTACATTCACTCATGTTTGCGTTAACCGAAGTTTAAATCAAACACCATTTACCTTTACAGACTGTAATTGGAATATACCATATATTGAGCTGGATCATATCATTGGGGAATCCATCAAACTTACTGGAATTATTAACCATTTATAATTAAGGATATTTAATACCAGATCAGTTTAGAACACGCACTCTCCTGGTGAACTAAGTAACGCTCCCTATTTCTATTGTGTTTATAACATCTAACTTATATTTATAAATATAATTATTTGTTATTAATAACTCTGTTATTATCTTTTGGGTTATTATATTGTCTGGTCCACCACAATTATTTGGTGAGCCTCGTGTTTATCCTAACTGTTATATTGATTATCATTTCACACGATATACTGGTTTATTGTTTTTCATAATGTTATCTCCCACTAAACTAATTGGTATTGATTCCCCTTCAGTAACTACTCCTAGTTTAATGTCAAACACACCTGACAACAATCTAAGCTCAGTTAACACTATTTCCGAATTCAGACTTCCAGCATACGGGTCTAATAACCCAAGGGACTGGTTCGCACAAATTAAAGCCTTATTCATGGCTAGAAACATACCTTCTCAGGCAACTAATTACGCTTATGTTGTTAGTGCACTTAATCGACCACGTGCCTGAATCAGAACCTTATGACAAGACAAAAGCGGCAGTAATACAACGCACGTCTGTCTCATATGAAAAAAGACTGCAACAATTAATAACATCTTGTGACTCGGGAGACAAGAGACCCTCCCAACTTCTTCGCCATATGAAACAACTTGCCGGTCCTTACAAACTGGACGAAGCTCTTCTAAAACAAATGTGGTTTCAAAGATTACCACATAGTGTTAGACAAATTCTTAGTCTCAGGGAAATCCGTCGCCCTTGATGATTTAGCCGACATGGTAGATAAAATGATGGAAGTCTACCACGATAGTCACTGTGTGAATATTTTGCAACCAGTTGAATCGGCAGATATCAATTATCTTGACTCCTTCCAAAGGCAGTTAACGCAATTAACGAGCCGGCTAGCGTCACTACAGACGACAATCGCAACCGTCCAAGCTAGACAATCGAGATCCTTTTCCAAACGAAGATCCTCTTTTAGACAACGGTCTCGGTCACCGAAGCGAAGCACCAAAGCACGGCGTTGCACAAGACCGTGCACATTTTCCGCGGCTGACACAGAGAATCAGGGAAACGGCCCGGCCAGACAGTGATGGCGGCGACTGTTTCTGGTCACACAACAAGCCGTCTATTTCATGCCAAGGATCGAATTTCGGGCTCAGATTTTTTGGTCGATACAGGAGCCGAAATCAGCATTATCCCATTAC